AACCATGCACTATCGTGCGCCGGTATTGGTTGCTGTTGTTTGGTTCCCCATTTGGATGAACAAAAAGAAGACACAAAAGGTTGACATTAGGATCGAAGAAAAAATTGGATTTCCTTGCACTAATTTTGCAGAGAAATCGACAACGGTGGAGCTAGAAGCAGTTTTGGGTAGACGTAGTTGGTTAGTAGGGTGTGTTCAACCTGCTTAGATTACGCTGCTTGTGATAAGCAATGTGCATGCCACCAAATAGGTTGTCACAGCGCGCAATGTGTACCGAGGCATGTAGAGGAAGAAAAAAGTCAAACGTGACCAAGAAACTGACACGAGAGCATGAAAACCCTAATCAGGAAACTCGGTCATATACATCGCGTTCAGCTCCACAGATGTAGACCTCGGGACACCGAGTGAGATGGCTGCAGGCCACTAAAAGTAGGGCTCGTGCATCAACGCACTTCACCCCTAGACCTCAGTTAATGTGGATTCTCTATCTTCTTTTAGACCATGCTCAGCCAAAACCGACAAACGTGCATTTTTATGGCTGTAAGAACTGAAATTGAAGTTTGGGACAAATAACCATCAAAATCCAGCCGTTTTCGATGCACGGCAACGAGTTGTCTAACCATGACAAATTTGGTCCATCTGTGGTTTGGTTGACGACTGGGGAAAAAATAGGGTAGGCTTTATGGCATTCAGGTGTGGTGGTGCAGTGGTTTAGTCGCTGTCACCGGCGTGTTTCGAGGTTTGAGCCCCGCCACTGATACCTAAATTTGGTGGTAGGCCGTTCTGCTGTCGTCCGGTTTAATACCACACCTGACCCATCGCCACTCCTAGTCCCGGGGCTTCGGTTGCTGGTTACCATGACTGAACAGCAGGTCCTTGTGACGAGGTTTACCTCGTATGCTGTTCATCACACGAAAGCGTGTAATAGAAAAATTTCGTGTACATGAATAGCCCATCCGGTACTTAAGCTTTGACAAAGTAATCGTCATCCAAGATGACTGCATGACAGTGTTCCACATTCATGCGTGGATACCACCGTCATGCCCGCTAACGGTTGTCAATGTCAGCCTGTTCAAGAATCACATATTGAGGAGGGATAAGCCCCTAAATGGGTGACTACTGCTGTGGAGGAAACCAGACACCTCCAGCTCTGCCAATAACGTAGGACAGGCGATTTTGAACAAACTAATTGATCCAGCTCCAAAATCTACCACAAGTACGCTGTCACACCACAATCTACTCATCCGCACAGCCCGAAAGTAAAATAAACACCACTGAAACATATGGTTTTAGCTTTCAGTTAAATTATTTTGGAAACGGAAACCGCTGCGGACGCCCGTGAGCGACGGGAACAGTCATTTCAGACCAGCTGATGCAAAAGCCATCGCCCTATCAAACAATTTCCCAAAGAGCACCCTAATGTTTAGAGCCCAAAAGCCTTAGTTCACTATTGAGCGCGGGCAGCAGCTGACGTGTTTACGTCTTTTTGTTTTTCGACCGGAGACCTACAGGTTGTTGGTAATGCCCGTGTGCTTACATTACGAACTCATTCGAAAAACAATATCGTTCCGGTTGATCGGGGGTCAACATTTGAATACTTGACTGGACAGCGACACTAGACCACGACTGTGACGATTACAAAACGCATTTCGCCGAACTTAATCACTCATTCCGCTGTAACTGGATTCCACAGTAGGCATATAAAATATCCGGAACAGAGCGTACTTCAAATTCTAAAATACTCCGTCTGCATGTTAGAGTGAAACATTCTGAGGCTACACCATAACTGCTTTCCAAGAAAGTTAGATTAACTAACCGGCCAACAATCACACCGAACGTTGAATACAAAAATAGCAGGTCTCCAGGGTGACACTTTTATTTACATACCATTATGTGCGCTGAGGTACAGGACGCTGGTTGTCCGTTCGTTGTGTTGGCAGCTTCAATGGCTTTCTCAAACGGCGATCGGCACGGCTCCTGTTGCGAAGGACCTTGTTGTGAATGGCGCAACTAATACAGTACTGCAGTTTGACGTACAGCCTTGGTACTGTGAAGGCCTCTGAAAAGGAGAAAAAATGAAGATTAACATTGTTCAACCCCGGCGATACATATCTCGACAGGTGTAAACACAAAAAATAAATTCGTTATGAGAACGTCACACAGCTTAACCCGGATACCAAAATTGCTCAGAATCAGATTAGGATTTATCTAGTTTCATAAGGCTTGTATCAACCAGCGTTATAAACTGCCCCTAACCTTGCGTTATTTCATAACGTTAAAAAGTCATCTGAACGGTCTTGGTTGTGAGAAATAACGAGATAATGGAAAGGCAAAAGCATGTCCAGCAACAATGTCTGCACGTTGTGTAAAGCACTGAGATCTCTAGTGACAAAAACCGTGTCATTCATATTTTCGGCCCGTATCTGTATCAGATTCTGAACTTTGATGAACTGACTCAGGTGAAGCCGTTTGTAATTTAGGGTCGACAGTGGGCCTGCAGCACTTGAGCAGTGGCCGTATCTTTGACCCTTGGGAGCAAAACTCACTTCCATAAACCGATGCGTCCTCCAAGTCTTTCAACGCTGCGGTTTCGACCATGCTGCGCGTCACCAGTTTCCATACAGCCTTGTCTTTCGGACAGGCCCGCCCACAGTTACTGCAGCGAATAAACCGGACATGACCGCGACCTTTTTTCGATCGACCATGATTTCGGCGTTTCCTAGTCTAAAGAAAATAAGGGAGCAAACGCAAGAACAAACCATCGTGCACGAGCGTAGCTTGGCGGGCTTCTAAGTGAACGCGTTTAAACAACAACAACACAAAAAATTCAGGTCAGGTCAGATGCACAGGACTGGTAGTGGCCACAAACCAATCAAGCTTCCAAAATTCCTTCGGCGGTGTGCTCGCGAGGGTCCTTCCACCTTGGCGGTACGTTCGAACTGGTTGAATGAACATTGCTCTCTGAATAAACCGTGAATTTTGAAGGTTTTATTGTGCAAAACTAAATGGACTAAGGTTTCAATTTCGTATTTTGCTCCATTAAGTGTGGTTTATCCGTTTTCGCACTGTTTTCCGGTGTATACTGCTTTTCGAAAAGGTTTTAGTCGTTTCCGATACTTTTGGTACCCGAAATTTGAATTGGTTCAAATTTAGCTCGTGTTTGAAATATTTTTGTCCATTTTCTTGGTTGCCAACGGAATACCCTAAGAAAAACTATCGGTTATCAGCCTAACCAAGAGAGCAAGAAAATGAAGCCGCCGAAAACACACGCGGATGCTGCAAAGGCCAATGCTAATCCCACCATCCGGGGATGCAAGGGAAGTAGCAAAGCTAAGACAGCAGCCGTTTCTACTGCACGGCGTGTGGTCAGTGTATTGATCAATCAGTGAAAATCCTTCCTGTAAAGCCCAGTCATTCCATCTCGGTTTCACATTTCGTGAATTTTACGTTCCATTCACCAAACATCATCCGCCTCACATACATATAGACATTTGACGTTCTGAAGCTAACCGGAGTTGACGGCCTTCCGGTATGTCTTCTTACGGATTTCAGTATCGCGCGACCTCCAAGTGTCTCGTTGCCCGAAATAGACAAAAACACTGGTGGGAGTCGGAGACGTTTATTGGCG